TACAGTTGATGACATTGGAAAATAAAATGCAGATTAAACAAAAGTATTGGTCAATATTAAGTCAGATGAATTTGATAACTGTAATGTGAATATTCTCGTTTTTAGGGAATACATGCTATCAATAGAGTAAATTGGCATGATGTGTGTAACCTACTCTCAAATAGTTTATAAAAAGTGACGAACATTTGAGAGAGAAAAAGCAAACATGGCAAAATGTGAAAATTTGGTGAAAGTGTAAAGGATGCTTAGGAGGTTTTTGGTATTATCCTTGCAAACTGAATGTAAGTTTGAAATTATTCCAAAATAAAAAGTTTTAAAAAGTCATATGTCAGTCAGTCATTCCCAACTAAATTGTTTAGGTTATTCCAGTTCCCTGTTACATAGGTTTATTGTATGTATTTGAATGGAACAAATTTTCACTTTTTTAAAATATCCTGTACTTCAGACGTTGCTGATACATATCTGTCATCTCAATAAATTTGAATTTAGTGAATTTTACTAGAACAGGGCAGTAATGACTGGTATTGTCTTTCTTCCTGGAAGGAGAAAAATCATGCTAAAAATTGCTAGATATAAGAACAAATTTTGATAACTAAAAATTTAAAGATTGTGAGGGTTTATAATTTTCTTAAAGTATTTAAAATATAATTGCCATTTATGTATTCAGTATAACTTGAAGCTAACAAGAGGTGAAAATTTGTCCCTTCACATTTTCACCCCATAATTGTCACCATTTACTATAAAACTCATGTAGACAAGGCAGAAAACGTTTTGCTCTGAATACTTGTTTATGCTTTTCACTCTGCACTGCTTAGTCCAAACAAAATATCCAGCAAATAAGTCTAGTTGTTTCTTTTTAAACATACTGAAACTCAAGAGTATTAATGTGAATTAACTTAGGATGGAAATAGTAAAGATGATGCAAGTAATATGTCCTGTTATTAAAAAATTCATTTATACCCATTTTAACCCAATTTTTAAAACGATAGTAAAGCACTTTGTTTTTCTTTTTAAAGATATGGATGTAATGAGGCCCTTAATAAATGAGCAGAATTTCGATGGGACATCAGACGAGGAACATGAGCAAGAGCTCCTGCCTGTTCAGAAGCATTACCAGCTTGATGACCAAGAGGGCATTTCGTAAGTGTTAGGGTGCATGTGCTGTTTCCTCTTTTCAGTCAGTATATGTCTGGTACTCATCTTCTATAGGCACGGCAGGCGCTTAACTAGATACTACAGAAGACATAAAGATGGATAAGACAGTGTCCCCACCCTCAAGGCATTTGTAGTCTATTTGGGAAGGAAGAAACACATTTAAATTACAGAGCAGTGTGTAGGAATTGCTACAGTGATGGTACATATCCAATGCTAGGGATCTTGAAAGAAGGGAGCTCTGACTGAGAGGAATAGAAATTTTAAAAGATGTGGCTTCTGAAACGGTTGGGAGCTAGAAGTAAACACTTCTTTATGTTAAGTGAATGATACGAAACAAAGGCATGGTCTCAGGGAAGCAGTGGAACATTTTTTAAACCTTTTTTTAAATTTTATCATCATTAATACACTTAAGTTATTATTCTAATAGTAATTTAACAGTTAAGCAAAGTAGCATTTTAATTGATTAGAATAGTATAAACTAGGAAAAAATTTTAAGCAAGATTTTTTTGTTTCATAAGTTTAAAATTTGTGCTGTTTTTCCCAGTTTGCTTTTTCTTGATCAAGAGACCTCCTTCAAATGCCTCTTAGAAACTCTTCTCAGATGAAATCCCTTGGGAGTTCATGATGTCTTAAAATTAATTAGTATTTATCTTCCTGTTGATATACATAGTATTAGAGTAGTTTTTAGAAATTTTAATTAACTTCCTCTGAGGTTGATAATGATAGCTCAAACATGTTTAAAATCATGATTACATAGATAGTGGAATAAATTGCTATCTTACCAGCCTTGCTGTATATGATCCTCAATGTTGTTCTGAATATCATAGCAGCAGAGAATCTTACGAGAAAGTTACCTTTTCTTTATTACTTTAATATGTTCAAAAATACTTTTATTTAATCTCCATAATAACCCTCTGTATTCCTCTTTTAAGTAACAAAGATAGGACTTGAACCAAATATGACTTCTGGCCCATTCAACTTATGATTGAATGGAGATGTTATTTGATTCATTGCCTAGATTAATTTTCAGTTCCCTTCTAATGCTAGACCCACGATCATGTGATTTTTAATAGCTTTTATTCTAAAATATTTAAATCTTACAAATTTTACTTTTCAGGTTTGTACAGACTCTGATGCATCTCCTTAAAGGAAATATTGGAACTGGCCTTTTAGGACTTCCACTGGCAATAAAAAATGCAGGCATAGTGGTAAGACTTGTCTTTGTAATGTCTTTGTGATTAAAATACAGATATCAGTCTTAATTTGCAGCAAAAATTACAAGTTAACATCTGGCCTAGTCAAATATAAGCTAGTCAGGTGACAATTAGATAATCATTTAGCTATTGTATTGATAAAATTATATGAACTATGATAATAATATCTAACAAAATGGAAACTAATTGCTCTTTTTATTTCTCCTTAGTTGCTTATTTATAATACTTGACAGAAAGTCCTAAAGCAGTATTTGATTTTTCCAGATATGATTATATCTTATTTCTTTTTGCATTTTCAGGAATTTAAGCAATATAGTCATATCAACAAATATATTTATAGAGCAGATTTTTTATATTGGTGAAATTTTATAGTTTTTTAGGTTCCAAATAATATATGTAGTTTTCAGATTTAAAGAATAATGATTAAGAAAAGGAATATCAATATATTTTGAAAACAGATATTCAAAATATTGTTAGAGCCAATTATTTTAATTATAGAGAATTGTGGTGGGGGAGAATTCACTTATGAAGTAATGAAATTACATTTAACTTTTTTTCAACTGACCAGTTTTCTAAAGAACAGTTTTAACTACCATCTTTCTCTGCATTTTACTTTGTCCAGCCTAATTTCCAGAAGCTTAAAAATTTCTGATTATAAAAATAAACTTTGGCAGTATTTTGTCTCAGATACCCAGATATTTTAATTTTAGTAAATAAATACTTGAAATTTTTTATATGCCACTTTTTCACATACTTATTTTCTAGGCAGTGTTTCTCACACACAGTAAGTGTTCAGCAAGCAATCTATAAAAGTAGATTGCCCACAATCCCAGATGATACAGTACTTTCAGTCATTTAGATAAGAATTCATGGTTGCATATAATTGTAATGGTGGGACGCTGACCCTCACAGACTTGCCACCTGATGTTAAATATGATGTTGTATTCTATCCTCCTTTGCATGTCTATACTCTACATTCATAGGTTTGGACAGCCAAGTTGATAAGATGGAATCATATGTCATTTTAAATATTACTAAATTCTTTGTGTGTCAGATGTATTAATTTTCCTTTATGCAAATGACTCTAATCATTTTGTCTAGCAAATATTTATTCATTGTAAATTAGTAGTCAGTTGTCTCATTGTTTATAAGGTAACTGAATTTTTATTAAACTTAAATATTTAAATTGTATAAAATTTTTCCCCCCACAGCTTGGACCAATCAGCCTTGTGTTTATAGGAATTATTTCTGTTCACTGTATGCACATTTTGGTACGTTGCAGTCACTTTCTATGTCAGAGGTAAATGTGGATTCATTAAGTCTAATTTATTTTAAAGCTGTGTATTTATTGAAAGCATCAGATAGTCTTATATTTCTATTGTGCTTTATAACTAGAAGTTGTATTTCCTATAATCTGTTACATAGACAAATCTCCGATAATGAATATGGAGACAGGTAGCAGTTCATATGATTTAAATCTGATCAGAATATATCTACTTCTTTTAAAATTAGTGAAATAGAATTTTTTTTAATTTAGAGTAAATGAAAAAAGTCAGGAAAGATATATGGGAAAAATGGGGGCAGAAGTACTACTTTTACTTAAAGAACAATGATCTTCAGTTTGTCGGTAATTTAGTTTGGGGTATAATGCCTTTGGGGCTTTTTGCTGATGTGTGGGTTGGTAGATAGTCAATAAAATAATATTCTTTTGTCTTTAATTTTTGTATCATGAAATGATTCTGTTGGACAATGGACCAACTTTTAAAAAATAAATATTATCTATTCTGGTAAACTAATATTCTAATCTTAACTTGTTTTTGTTGTTGTTAAATGTTCTTAAAACTTTAGGCAAGTCATTTATGATCTTTAAATAATAATATATACTTGAAAAAATGAGAGAGCCCATGGCTATGTTGATGATTAAATAAGGTAATTTATGTGACAGTATATTGTAAAGCCTTATATAGATGTATTAAATAATGCTATTCTAAGAATGGAATAATGTAGGCATGAACAGTATAGTTGATGTTTTCAGGTAATTTGAAATATTTAAATCAGTGAAACACAAATATTACGTTACATGGATTCTACAAATACAGAAACTTGAACAGTGGATAAAAACTAACACATTGGTGAAAAGGATATATACAAATTTCAAAATTCACGAGATAACTTTAGGAGTATGCAGATCTTGAAATTTTGAAAACTCCTCTATCTGCGTATAGCCCATTTATTTGATGTTCTTTTCAAGGGATAGATTTACAGACCAATCAAAAAATATTTTTTTTTCTGCATGTGTGTCATTAAATTTCAGGTTTAAAAAGTCAACATTAGGTTACAGTGACACTGTGAGTTTCGCTATGGAAGTAAGTCCTTGGAGTTGTCTTCAGAAGCAGGCAGCCTGGGGACGGTAAGTCGTTGCTATGTTATTAATACCTGGTTATTGAAGTTACATAAATTTTTAAGTATTTTACTCTGACAAGATACATTAATAAAAGTATGTTAAAGTTGGGGGGAACAATATTTAGAGTTAGACTTACTTGGGTTCAAATCTCAACTCTACCACTGTACAACTGTGTGACCTAAGTCAAAGCATGTTTTATTTTGTTCTAGTATTTTCACTATCAAGTAAGTTTATAGTGATATTTACTTCACAGTGGTTTAAATAAAATAATATTTATAAAGCACCTGGCTCACTTGTGATATAATCATGTTTAAATAATTTTTAGGTAAAGGAAAAAGGCAAGAAAAATGTTATCTGTTTCAAATAAAATTGTGGTGTTTAGCTGCATGCTCCTAAGACATCTGAAGCGTGTATTTTAGCATAGTCTTGTTTTTATTATCACGTTGTTTAAATGGAACTGTCATTGTGGACATGGCTAGGCAAAATCAGGCGAATGTAGGACTGGAAAATAAGCATAGACAATCCACAGCGCACTCACTGTGGTACAAATGATATGTGGTGGAAATTAAAAGAAGGAAAGAACAGTGTTAGTATAGTGGATTAGGGTTAAATATGGCCTTTCTGGGGATTTTGGGGAAGTTTTATGAGCTGCTCAGAGCTCCCAGTGTGTTGTGTAGGAGAAGGAAGAAGACAGAGCCTAATGCCCTAGGGATTTGCTTCCTACTTTGTCTTCATCCTTCTTTTGCCCCAGTCTACGGGCAGCTTTGTTTACTTTTTCTGTCAAAAAGAATGGCTTTCAGAGAGAAGTGGCTGGGAAGATTGTTGCTAAGGATACTAAAATCCAAGGTGGATGAAGAGACCTTAAGGGAATATTTAAATGTAATTCATCAGAGAGAAGAAACTTGAATTCATTTCAAGGTACCAAGGTTACTTACACAATGAGATCCCTGAAGAACCATGGAGAACTAGCGAGTAATGGCAAGAATAAAGACAGGCAAGGGCCCTTCCAGTTTCCAATGGGAGGAGAGTCTGTAGATTTTTAGACTAGGTTGCTCGACAGCTTGACATTAATGGTCAAATAAGAGACATAATGAATTAGTAAGCGCCTGCTATTGTAGTCACTCCCTGTTCCCAGAACAGCAGGGAGATACGGGCTGTATATTAACAGCATGTCAGCAGACTTACAACTTGATTATAATCACGCCCAAATAATGCTAATTTGACCGGTGATTTCCTTTCCCCAATCCCATACACTATTTTATGTGGCTGGAATTTTCTAGAGTATCTCAAAAAATATGAACAGAGCTAAGCTGCTGGAGAGGTCCCTGGTGATACGATTTAGGGCCTTACCCCCAGACCTCTCCCGTTCCATAGCCTTATTAGTGATTTGGATAGTAGATAATATGCCCTTCAGATCTGCAAATGACAGGAAGCTGGGAGGGCTGGGTAGGACACTGGATTGACCTGAAAAAGATCTTGAGAAGTAGGAGAAATGGGCTTAATCTAAACAAAATATTTTCATGGCATCACTTTATAAACAGATACGCTTAAACTGTTGAATTTCAGAAATTTTGGCCTTTTAACTTATGTAACAACATCCTTTGGCTCAATAATAATTCTAGCAATAGATCATAAACATAGAAATAGTAGAAAGTAAATACTTTACACCTATGTCTTATTTTAAGGAAGTAAACAGAATATATACTCTTATAAGGTGTTTTAAAACAGTTCAAAGGCGAAAAAAATGCACTGACATCTCAGCAGCTCATATTAATACTTGTTTGTGGGGCTCCCTTCCCAGGAGTGTGGTTGACTTTTTTCTGGTGATAACACAGCTGGGATTCTGCAGTGTTTATGTTGTCTTCTTAGCTGAAAATGTGAAACAGGTAAGTATTCTCTCCAGTTTTTGAAGTCATTTTCTTCCAGTGCCATAGTGTGGCATCGTATTTCCTCTGAAAATGTGTTCCTTTCATAGATCATTTATCTTCCTAGATTTTCATTTAGTCTTCGTTTTTGCAAGCTGAATTTCTGCTGTTATTGCAGATTTTACTTTTCTTGCTCTTATGTCAGTAATGCTTGTTCTTTCAGATCACAACAGGCATAATTTACTGATACGGATGTTTTGGTAGCATATTTTTTACATTGATGTCTTATAAAGAAATAGATAAGACTTTAGCTAGCAGCCTAAAAAGTGAAGTTAAAAAGCGGGCATTACTATAATCCAAGAATTATCGCTATTGTCCGAAAAGACACTATGTCCTGAAATGTACGGTGTTCTGTAATTCTCTCCATATTGTAAAGGTTTGTGTTTTAAGAGGAGGTAGTTTGCAGTCTTGGTAGAGACTGTCAGTTTGAACAAACATGCAAAGCACTGAAATAAAAAAGCTCCCCCCTCAGAACAAGGCCAAAGCAAATTTCTTTATGTACTTTAAATGGCAATTGGCCTGCTTTTATTGTTCCTACAGTTCCCCATGTTCTTCTTTAATTATTATTTTAATCCATAACATTTATTAGTTCTCCACATGTGCATAGTGCGATAGTAGGCATTATACGTGATAACACATAGTACTTCTCTTGTAGGTATTTTAATGCAAAATCATGTGAATATGTGTTCTATAGCATCTACATGTATATACATAAGTATATGTTTGCCTTACTTTTCTAAGTGTATACTATGCTTCATTTTATATTTAGACCAAGAATTCACCAATTTTTTTGTAAAGGGCCAAATAATAAATATTTTCAGTTGTGCAGGTTATATGATCTCTGTCTCAACTCAGCCACAGACAGTAATACATTAGATGCGGCTGTGTTCCAGTCAAATTTTATTTGTAGAAATAGGTGGTGGGTTGGATTTGATCTGTGGGCCATAGTTTGATAAAGCCACGAGCTTAGGTATTTAATGTTGGAAAGGCTTTCTTTTATAAATAAGAGAGCTGATACGTTTATTAGCATTACTCACTGCAGATGGTGTGCTTTTGATTTTACAAGTGTTTAATTCCACAAGTCACATCTTTTTAGGACTACTGTTACTCAGCTAAGAGGCTATTTATTGCCAAGACAAGACATACCATCTTACTGCTCATTTGCACAGAATATAGTGGAAATGGTGCCTTTCTGGGATTGTACAACACGGTAGCACTGTGTCTTTTCTGTCATCTACAAGAGCTACCAACAAGCTTGATTTAAATTTATGAATAATGCTAATAATGCCTTATAATCTTCTATCTATAAGCTATGATATGTATCATTTAATTTTTACAACTACTCTGTAATGTAAGTGCTATGCTTATTTTATGAATGAGGAAACGGAGTCTCACAAAGCATGAGCAATGTTCCCTAAGTTTATGAATTAGTTAGAAACCCAGGTCCCTGACACAGCTGCCACTTGGTATATTAATTGTTCACCACTGGACAGGACATTGTCTGATTTTAGTTTTGTGTGTGCGTGTGTGTGTCTGTAAATGACATAGAGTACATGTGTACGTAAGTATATAAAATAAATATCTGTAAGCTCAGGATTGGTGACTTTCTCCTATGAAGTATCAGTTGCGTCCAAAGTTGAATGGAAGAATTTGACTCATTTGCACATATCCTAAGAAGACCAGGTAGAAAAAGTGACTCTCTGGAAGTTGAGGAGAAACTTGCTATAGATGAAAGTTCTTCTGAGGCATAAAGAGCAACCTGGAGAAAGACATTCAGTTAGACTTGAGAAAAGTGGAAAGCAACACTGGCCACCTCACGTCAGCAGAGTGGACAGATGGTCACTGAAACAGCGTTATCAGAGATTTTCACTCTCTCTCCAGAGCTGTTCTCGTGTTTGATAGCAACCTCCAATAGAAGACACACGGGTTGATTAAACCTTACTAATTGCTACTACTTTTACAGTTAAAACCCGTAAGATTATTACTGCCTTAATCTCCTTAAAATTGAAGGTGCAGTATTTCATCAGATCAAACAATTAAGGGTTTAGTTCCCATGCAGATGTGCGCACCTTCTGCTCTGTAACTGCCACATGGCTGTTCCTGGTCCCATTAAGCCACTGTGGACAACTGGCAAGGGGGGAAAGAACTGTGTTGCTTCCAGTGATTCTTACCCATCGTGCTGATAGTAGTTCCTCTCTGTTCTTGCTCTAAGATGCTCAAGAAAATGTCAGATAGACAAAATAGCGTATGTAGGCAGGAAGAATGGGGAAAGGATGTTACATTCAGATTAAAAAACGTTACGATACCAAAGAGCATAGACCTTAGAATCAGATCTGAATTCAAATCCATACTCTCAGTTTAAATTCATGCATTGGGCAAGACCCCCCCCCCCCGCCTTATCCATGGTCAAGCTTCGGTTTCCTTATTTGTAAAATGGGAATAGTAGCAAAATCTCCCCATGTTCTTCATAAACTTACTGTGAGGCTCCGATGTCAGAAGGTTTGTGAAAGCCTTTACAAAATGCCTCGTGCGTTTTACATGCAGTACACAAGTGTAGCATGTTATGGCTTTAATTCTGCATTTTAGCTTTGCTGAAGAACATAATTTATCTTTGGAATTAAATTACTGAATGATCAAAAAGTTGATAAACAGTGGATTTTAGTAAATTTGAGCTCTAAATGAAAACAACTGAATTTATGAGTAATTTTATTTTATAACATTTATTTCAGTGTTTTGCATTTTGGTAAACATGTGAGATCATAGGAAGTCCTGTTAGATAGACAGTCTCTGTCTCTAGAGGACACCAAAGGACTCAAATGTTTACCTGAATCTTGCTCTGGGTATGTATCTACACTTTTACTTTGTTTTTTAATCTTGAGAATTTTTATAATCATCTTTCTACCAAAGAATACTAAATTACTATGAGAGACTTACGATAGAATTGATTTCAAATTCCCAAACACCTAACAATTCAGGCAGCCCTTGTAAAATTGGTTATGCAACAGCTTTCTCTTCCTGGGTATCCTTGTCAGAGCTTAAGGTTTGATCATGATCTAGTCTGATCATTGGAGGTACTTCTTTGGTACAGAAGTGTTTGGCTGTAAATAATTGGGTTAGAGAGGAAATTGGGTCAGCAAATAAAATATGTTCTCAAAATCCAAGTGATGTGAATGAACAATTTGCTTCTATTTCAAACTACAGAAAATAAAATAAAAAGTTTTGATGATCAGTTATAAGATACATAAGAGCTATACACATCTCAAATGGTGTGTGGTGTAACCTGAGCGTTTGTAAGTCCAGTGTGAGTTATAAATGGCCTGGGTAGCTTAAAACTAGTAGAGATATTCCCTGCAGTTGTAGGTGATGTGTACGTTTGTAGTGACACTGAACATTGTTCATCATGGATAAGTGAAAAAAATGAAAGGAAACACCTGAATTGTTAATCATATCAGAATTATGTTCTGTACTTCTCACTTTTTGGCCTGTCAATACCATATTTAAGTATTTAAACCTGTTTCCTCAGCTATAAATTGAAATTTATTTATTAATAATACCACCCACCTCAGAGAGTTGTTTTGAGTATTAAATGAAATGTTGTATATGAAGTATTTAGCTCAGTACTCGACATATCAAAAGTACTCAGAAAATACTTGATATTATTACCATAGGGTTGGGTTTTTAAGAATTTATGTATCCAGAGACTTGATAACGTCATTGTGTTCAAAGGAGGGTTACAGTGTTTGGGTCAAATAGATTTCCACAGGTACTTAAATTATAGTATGATCTGCCTCTGTTGTGAGTTTTTAAGATTATTTTAAAAGTCCTTTATAATTTCATTTCTATTTTTGTTAAATTGGATTATGTGATTAACTGAGTCAGGGACAATTTTTAATATATGGAGCCTATAAATTGTTGTATCTCTTTAGAACGCTGAATATCTGTTTCTAGAGGTAGCTGAATAAATTTTGAGGTAAATTTGATTTATCTTATAGAAATTTTTTGCTCTAATAAAAGTTTATTTACTGTCTAGCATATGGCCATACATGGAGTTAGTAGATTCTTAATAAGTATTTATTGGCAGTGATGATAATTTATCAACAGTTGCTTTATAAAATACCTTTAAAGTTCAGCTGTGATTTCTAAATTTTATTTTGACTACTGTACATGTCTAAGAGGTTCTTAG